GTAAAATTACTGCGCTTGCTGTAGAATTACTGTGCTTGTTGTAGAATTAGTGCGCTTGTTTTAGAATTGGTGCGCTTGTTGTAGAATTACTGCGCTTGTAACGCACTAGACATCCCACTGAGAAAGTGGGCGCACAGACTGGCAAATTGGATGCAACGAGGCATCTGAGGGCTTAGCGGTAACCAATCAGCAGAGTGGGGTGAATGAATCTGCAATGAATGTATAAGAGTTCAGGTGTATGTATGAGAATGTTTTTTGTATGTATGCCATTGGTTCGTAAACTATCACGGTTTAAAAAACAGTTCGTTGCTTTTATTTGAAGTGCCTGCACCTGCTTTGGATATGACTCATCGTTTTGTCTGCTTCCTGGTTTGAATTTGTACTATGCGCATAACAAGCTTGACAACATGGTACCTAGTACTTAATATACATAAATGAATACAAGTATGTTAATATACATAAATGAATACAAATATGTTTATATACATAAATGAATACAAGTATGTTTATATACATAAATAAATACAAGTATGTTAATGTACATAATTAAATACAAATATACACAATATATATAACGACACATATGTTGTCATAAAAATCACTTGGCATAGCTGTTATAACCGGTGACGTATGACGCAAGCCTTCCGGCTACGTGAACTTTATGAAGTAGGATGCCACAGATATACAAGCTACGAGGTGCTTGAACAAAACAGGTACAAACAGAATGTACATGGCGTACCAATACCAATACTTCACATCTACGGAGAACTGGACAGTTCCTTGCACCCATGGCCTCGCAGAGATACTTGTTTATTTGTATTTGAGATCAGACCTCTCCAGTGCACCCGGTTAGGCGAACAACCCACAGGCGAATTCTTAGTAAGCTATTGGGCGCTATGGCGCTCAATGGGTGGGTATCTGAATGGTCCGGTCCTTCGGACACTCTGCGATGCGGTACAGTTAAAGTATATATAGAGTTATATAGTATGATGGTATATGAGCTTTACGTATGTATAGGGTTATCTAGTAAGATGGGACATGAAATTCAAGTATCTATAGTTATATAGTAAGATGGGATACGAAATTCAAGTATCTATAGTTATATAGTAAGATGGGATATGAAATTCAAGTATCTATAGTTATATAGTAAGATTACGAAATTCATGTATCTATAGTTAAATAGTAAGATGGGATATGAAATTTAAGTATCTATAGTTATATAATAAGATGGGATACGAAATTTATGTATCAATAATTATATAGTAAGATGGGATATGAAATTCAAGTATCTATAGTTATATAGTAAGATGGGATACGAAATTTATGTATCCATAGTTATATAGTAAGATGGGATATGAAATTCAAGTATCTATAATTATATAGTAAGATGGGATATGAAATTTAATATTTAGAGCTATATAGTGAGATGAGACATGGACTTTAAGTATAACTCTAAGTATATACAGTTACACAGTAAGATGGTATAGGTACATCTCGGACGCATACCGATTAGATGTAAGGAATGCCTATTTGTTTCCATGCTGGAGTGCCCTAGGATTGAAGACGAAACAGAATAGCATGACAGTGAACGTATACTATGACAGTGAACGTAGAATGTGACAGTGAACGAATACTATGGCAGTTGACGTTAATATGTCAGTAAACGTATACTATGACATTTAAAGTTACTATAACGGTGATCGTATACTATGACAGTGAACGTATAGTATGACAGTTAAAATTACTATGACAGTAAATGTATACTCTGACAGTTAAAATAACTATGACAGTCAACGTATACTATGACAGATAATGTTATTATCGAGTTGAGCGTATACTATGACAGCGAACGTATACTATGACAATTAACCTATACTATGTCAGTTAACGATTATAAAACAGTTAACATATACTATGACAGTTAACGTTATATGACAGTAAACGTATACTATGACATTTGAAGTCACTAAGACGATGATCGTTCACTATTACAGTGAATGTATACTATGACAGTTAACGTTAGTATAACAGTCAACGTCTACTACGACAGATAGTTTACTATGACTGTCAATATACACTATTACAGCTAACGTTTACTACGACAGTTAACGTTACTATGACAGTTAACGTTACTATGACAGTTAACGTTACTATGACAGTTAACGTTACTATGACAGTAAACGTATACAATGACATTTGAAGATACTATGACAGTGATCGTATACTAAGACAGTGAACGTATACTATGGCAGTTAAAATTACTATGGCAGTGAATGTATACTATGACATTTAAAATTACTATGACGGTGATCGTTAACTAAGACAGTGAACGTATCCTATAACAGTTAAACTTTCTATGACAGTGAATGTATACTATGACAGTTAACGTTAATATAACAGTCAACGTATACTATGACAGCTAAAATTACAATGACAGATAAAGTTACTATGACAGTTAAAGTTAAAATGACAGTGAATGTATACTTTGACAGTTAACGTTAATATATCAATCAACGTATACTATGACAGAATAAAGTTACTATGACACTCAACGTACACTATGACGGGTATCGGTACTATGACGGTGAACGTATACTATGACAGTGAATGTATACAGTGACATTTAACGTTAGTATAGCAGTCAACGTATACTACGACAGATAGTTTACTATGACAGTTAATGTACACTATTACAGCTAACGTTTACTATGACGGTTAACGTTAAAATAACTGTCAACGTATACTATGACAGTTAAAGTTACTATGACAGTTAAAGTTACTATGACAGTCAACGTATACTATGACTGTGATCGTATACTATGACAGTGAACGTATACTATGACAGTTAAAGTTAAAATGACAGTGAATGTATAATATGACAGTTAACGTTAATATATCAGTCAACGTATACTATGACAGAATAAAGTTACTATGACACTCAACGTACACTATGACGCCTAACAATACTATGTCGGTGAACGTATACTATGACAGTTAACATTAATATATCAGTCAACGTATACTATGACAGTAAACGTTACTATGACAGTAAACGTATACAATGACATTTGAAGATACTATGACAGTGATCGTATACTAAGACAGTGAACGTATACTATGGCAGTTAAAATTACTATGGCAGTGAATGTATACTATGACAGTTAAAATTACTATGACGGTGATCGTAAACTAAGACAGTGAACGTATCCTATGACAGATTAACTTTCTATGACAGTGAATGTATACTATGACAGTTAACGTTAATATATCAGTCAACGTATACTACGACAGATAGTTTACTATGACAGTCAATGTAAACTATTACAGCTAACGTTTACTATGACAGTTAACGTTACTATGAAAGTGAACGTATACTATGACAGTTATCGATACTATGACAGTAAATGTATACTATGACATTTGAAGATACTTTGACGGTGATCATATACTAAGACAGTGAACGTATACTATGGCAGTCAAAGTTACTATGGCAGTGAATGTATACTATGACATTTAAAATTATTATGACGGTGATCGTAAACTAAGACAGTGAACGAATACTATGACAGTTAAACTTACTACGACAGTGAATGTATACTATGACAGTTAACGTTAATATAACAGTCAACGTATACTATGACAGGTAAAGTTACTATGACAGTCAACGTATACTATGACAGATAACGTTACTCTGTCAGTTAACGTATACTATGACAATTAACGTTACTTTGACAGTTAACGTATACCATGACCGTTAACGTTAATATGACGGTAAGTGTATACTATGACATTTAAAGTTACTATGACTGTGATCTTATACTAAGACAGTGAACGTATACTATGACAGTTAAAGCTACTATGACAGTGAATGTATACTATTACAGTTAACGATAGTATAACAGTAAACGTATACTATGACGGTTACAGTTACTATGACACTCAACGTACACTATGACAGCCAACGTTACTATGAAAGTTAACGTGTGCTATGACAAGAAAATATTCTACGACAGTTAACGTTTACTATGACATTTGAAGTTACTATGACGTTAATCGTATACTATGACAATGAACGTATACTATGACAGTTAAAGTTAAAATGACAGTGAATGTATACTATGACAGTTAACGTTAATATAACAGTCAACGTATACTGTGACAGAATAAAGTTACTATGACACTCAACGTACACTATGACAGCTAACGATACTATGACGGTGAACGTATACTATGACAGTTGAAGTAACTATGACAGTCAACGTATACTATGACAGTTAAAGGTACTATATAGTTGAGCGTATACTTTGACATTGAACGTATACTGTGACAGTTAACGTATACTATGACAATTAACGTTTATATGACAGTTAACGTATACTTTAACAGTTAAAGTTACATGACAGTGAACGTATACTATGACAGTAAATTTTACCATGATAGTGAACGTATAATATGACAGTTGAAGTTGCTATGACATTGAACGTATACTATGGCAGTTAACATATACTATGTCAGTTAACGTTACTATGACAGTTGACGTATGCTACGACGGTTCACGTATGCTATGATAGTAAACGTTACTATGACAGTGAACGTATGCTATGACAGTTAACGTTAATATAACAGTGAACGTGTACTATGACAGTGAACGTGTGCTATGACAGTTAGCGTTACTATGATTGTAAACGTATAATATGACAGTCGAAATCGCTATGACAGTGAACGTATACTATGGCAGTTAAAATATACTATGTCAGTTAACGTTACTATGGCAGTTAACGTGGACTATGACAGGGAACGTATACTATGACAGTGAGCCCTTGACAAATCGACCTGCCAAGCGACAAAAGATTTTCAAAAACCCTAAAACATCCGCAGGTGGGAAAATTAATAGGTGTCAGTTCCAGATGAGTATGAAAATATGAGGCTCCCATTGAGTCCCACATGATTATGAAAATATAAGGCTTTCATTGATGGTAAACACTTGCTTTATTCACCAATCCATTCAGTACAAGTTAAGTGGAACAGCAGTATATGCGAAGCAGGGGTCGCTAAGACTGTACGCGAGGCTGCCAGCCACAGTCCCCACTCTACCAATCCCTTTTTTAGGTTTGTACCAGTTACGGGTCCAGCCCAGTGAACGGCTTGGTTCAATCTATCATCACAGTGGTGTGAGGTGTTTAATACCCTGTGCGAACCAGGGGCTTACTTGTGCATTGTGGTCCCTCCACAACGTGGATTACAATGGTCGGCAGGCTTCTTTGAGCCACATCAGAGCACACGTCTTACCCTGCAACGCGTACGTATGAGTGACAGGGGATGAGCAGAAAACTGCCCAGACGACTAGAGATAGGTTTGTATATGTAGTTAGGTGAGGGATTCTGTTGAAACTAAGGTAAGTGAGATGTGGGAAGCACAAGACGACGAGAAATAGATAGGTGTATGTATGTAGGTGAGAAATTCTTTTGAGACTAAGGCAGACCGTGTAGCCTTGCATGCACACTGGTGCTTGTGAGGGCACGCAGAGTCCGGGAGTTCGGTACAATCACATTGTTTGCAACGCAAAACTGCGTGTGCACTTGTTATTTCCTCAAGGGTTGTCTGGCAAATGTGGAGACGAACCGCCGAGTGAATATAACCACGATATGTGAAGCACATCCAAGACTGTCTTAGACGCACATTCAGACAGATGTCAACGATTACACAAACGTCTCAGAGGACACTGTGCGAGCAGAACGCAGGTGTGCGTGAAGAAAGGGAACCGACGAGTGGCCAGAACACAGTGGATAAGGAATGCTGTGTAGATAAGTAGCACCTAGCACCACAGGCGCACTGCTTCAACTTTAATAGTTGACTGGTATCTGCTAGGCAACTATGTATAGCACAGGTGATGTGACCTCTCAAGGCAGACCCCTGGTGTGTCATAAGAGGTGGCTGATACTTGCTGTAGAAAGTTCAGTGGCAATGTACTGCGAACTGCTATCGACTCAAATACACTGTGTGACCACTGCACCTGTGCACCACACTTTAATCAGAGTTCATACCAACTATACATACCTTGTACATACACCGATGAGGGACATTCTATATATAGTTACCTGTTCAACATTCTATATTTAAATACCTGTTCATCGTTCAATATATAGTTACCCGTTCAACAATCTATATTTAAATACCTGTTCATCGTTCGATATATAGTTACCTGTTCATTCAGAAGAGGCGATACTTGCTCGTAGATGGTCCAATGGTAGTTGTTGATGTGAGCGATCTCCTCAACCGATAGGAGTGATGTATCGATTAATCGTCGCTGGTAGGGCGCCTGTAGTATGAATAAAAGTCCATATGGAGGTTAAGACATTGTACGAATAAAAGCCCATATGGAGGTTAAGACATTGTACGAATAAAAGCCCATAAGGAGGTTAAGACAAGCTGATGGCGTCACAATGAATGATGTACTTGTAAGCGATACAATTCAATAAATATGTCCTTTCGTTTGGCAAGCATCGGCACCAGTTCTCATGTACAAACACAGCAGAATGACAAACAGAACAATCCCAATGTGTTTTGGTGTTTTGAAGCCGTCTGATTGTGAATGTGCATGATATAGTCATGGACATGCTCACCATGGTCAAGTTCTTCGAATCGAACTTGTCAAGTTCTTTACATCGAACTTTGTGAATATTAAATAAATAAATTGTGAATGTACAGGGCACACTCGTGGATACCCGTACTATAACCAAGTGCTTGGATTGAATATTGTGAATATTACATATACAGATTGTGCATGTACATGGCACACTCGTGGATACGCTCACCATGGTCAGGTCCTTAAATGTCAGGTATTGTACACCTCCAAATTGGTGTTCGGTGTGGGCCTTGACGACAGCCACAACGTTCTCAATGCGAATGCCAAACGCCCCATCCTCGTAGTATCCAGGCTCTGCGAGTGTATACATCCGCAGCACTCGTGAGAAAGTTACATCATGACCACACTATAATCCAACCCAACACAGTCAGAGATAAGTATTCCGCTTAAGAGTCGGCTCTCAGGTGTAACTACAGACATTGTCACGTACCATTTGATACCAGCATGCCCTCTTCGAGCGGCACCTGCGTCATCTGCGATGCGGGTCGTGGTGCGATGGAGTGGGGACCTGTCCAAGTCCACCCGGAAAAAAACAGGTGCAGTTTGAATGAACCGCTAACTTAAAAACAGGTGCAGTCAGAATGTACCGCTAACTAAAAAACAGGTGGAGTTAGAATGGGGTGCTAACATTCTCCACTACACACGTGTTTCGTACCTTTATGCTTTGGCTAGCAATTGGTGTTTGGTGGATTGACATAGTGGTATACACAACATGCTCTTCTTGCTGTAACAGGCTCACTGTTCAGCATCTCCTACTGAGCAAGTGACTCAAATATGAGACGCTGCTACAGTGGTCTGCGTAGCAGACAAGCACTACAAAGGCACTGAACTGAATGGATTCAACAGTCATACAATAAATTGGATATAACAGGCATACGATTGGATATAACAGTCAACCTCAATAGAGGTGTCAACCCAAACCGTGGGCAGTTACAATAGCTACAGCAGTACAACACAGGAGGTTGTAACGTACTCTAACAGCTGCAACAACATAAACACAGAAGATTGTAACGTACCTTCGTGTACATTCAAGAACGCCCCCACCCCGTGACCTGTGCCGTGTCTGCGATACGAAGTGAAGAGGGATTAAGACAGGCTATTCCGGTGCAAATCGGCCCTTTCCAGACAAATTGAGGTGTACATAAAACGTAAATACGACGTTTGGAGTATTTCCGACATGAATTTAATAATGACATAATACAGAGGAGAACAACGAAGAGGATCCAAAAAAACCCCACTTTACAAAATATATGAACACTCATCTCCATACATCAACTTTTACACGCAGAGGGCTAAGTCCGACCCGCGTGTGTCTGTTATGACATTGTACATAGGCAAGCACACCGGTGCGATGCCCAAACAGCTGGCTGCCACACTTAAGCACGGGGATGCACATACACAAACGCATATAGACAGCAATCATTAAACATGGGAAAACACACCCGTGAGATGCCCAAACAGCTGGCTGCCACATTTAGACACGGGGATGCACATACACAAACGCATATAGACAAGCAATAAAGCAATACCATACTAAGTACGTGTATCTGTAATCCAACCCAGCCCTATCCTGTTCTCAAGCACGAAGACACATATGTACACATACATGTAAACAGTAATATAAAGCAGTTCCATTCTGAGACATGTTTGTACCTATAGTCCAACCCAGCCCTCCAGAGCGGTGTTCGCGCGAGAGCGTCGAGCATGATTCCTGGAGTACCATGTGGGAAGACAGCCATGGCCAGCTGTACGTGACCTGTGGGCACCCGAGAAGTATATATAAATTAATATATATATATATATATTATATGTGTGTGTATGTGAGGGAGGGGGGGCGGGAGATGAACAGCAGCTAAGCACAAGCAATGGCATGGAGCGGACAGTATACGACAAATGAACAAGTGTGGAGGCAAGGCGAAGGGTGGTTGTTTGTTTTGCCATGTCAAGCCGGGCATACAGACATGTATAAGTATTGGACAATAATAATATAACATTGTATGTTGCCATTTGGCGGTCTACGCGACCCACAAATAACCAGAACGAATGCCAACGAGCACTATACGACAGGGTAGCAAGAATGGCATCGAAGATATAGATAGCTGTGAATTACAATGACCATAGTATAGACATACCTGTACGTACAAGCATAGAACGACACGCATTTACAAGAGTAGAATGACATGCACGTACAGGCGTAGAATAACATACATGTACAGGCGTAGAATAACATACATGTACAGGCGTAGAATAACATCCACGTATAAGTGTAGAATGACATGCACGTACAGGCGTAGAATAACATCCACGTATAAGTGTAGAATGACACACACGTACAGGCGTTGAATAACATATATGTACAGGCGTAGAATAACATACATGTACAGGTGTAGAATAACATACACGTATAAGTGTAGAATGTCATGCACGTACAAGCATAGAGACGTCGCTACATAGCATGACATGCATTGAACATACCCTTGAGTACTCGAGTGTAGCAGTCTCGTTCGCGTTCAGTGGGTGTACCCAAGTGCACAGTCCTCGTCACATCTGTGGTCCCATCTCTGAGTGGAAAAAAAAATTGAAAAAAAAATTGAAGAACATCTGCGAGTGGGAAGAGACGATATGATATGCCTCTACCAGACGATCTATAGACAGTGCATGTGTAGGTATATATATGAGAGAATCTTGAGTGCAGAAATGAGTGAAGGGAAGAGTAAGCGACGTGAAAGAGTTGGTCAATAGGCAGTGCGTGTGTAGGTATAAATATGAGAGATTCTTGAGTGCAGAAACGAGTGAAGGGAACAGTAAGCGACATTGAGCTTAGGTCAGTCATACATGCAAACCTGTTGTAGCGTACACACAAACCATGACATACGAAGCTCGACATGTCAGGCCGTGTTGCTATTGCAAACCATGTCACATACAAATAGAACCGTGCGTAATAATAACAAATATAAAATAACATATATAATATAATGACCCTTGGATGCAAAAAAACAACAACAATCGAGTACGTCTTGATTGAGGTGAGCCAACTCGATTCCTCCACGCCCACGCGATGTCGGAAAATAAGAACACATACCATGACATGCAACTTACAGAATACGGAGATACTTAGCATCAAGACAACAAATCGTCCTACATCCATGTCATATCCAAATAAACAAGCCATTTTAGATCCATGTCACATACAAATATTGAGCTCCAGAGTCGCACAAGTACAAGGCGCTGTCCGTAACCTGTGCCGCAGTTTCCTTCTCTGGTCTGTAGTGGATGATGGCTCCGTTGGGGCCGGCGCCCGATATCGTGGGGAAACTTAACCCCATGAACAGTTCCTGTTCTCTGATAGTGGTCGATTATCCAGGAGTGCATGTGTGAATACCAGAAGTTCGGCAGTTTAGTTCAATATACCACAGAAGTTAGCAAATGATCGTCCAGTAACTAGTTGGTACCAACTATCAGGAAAATTTCAAAGACATCAATATGGACACGTTCTCAACTATTCCGGAACACGCCACATGATTCAATACTTTCATTTAAGGTGGACGGCGTCTCATATCAACAAATGTTGCACTACACATAATCTTTTTAACGTTTATCATAGAAGCCGTCATCTCTACGACCTAATGCACCACATCCGCACGCATTTCCATCTACACACACTCTCCCTTGCTTCAGCCACACCACACATACTTTCTGTAGTTCTCCAACACAGTCGCCACTTCCACCTCAGTGCCTCTACCTCCCTGTTCCAGCCACGCGAGATAACAACACAGCGCTGCCCCATCACGCACATGTGCACTGATGGCTCCTGTAGTGACGTATACATGCATGCATAGATGTATTTTTTATACGTTTTAGTGTTTAGGGTTTTATACGAAAGCTTACCAACATACGCTACTATCGCATAGACATGCGCAGCACATGTTGCTATGACCCGCTTATGTATCTGTTACCACTCCACCGACTGATTTATAGTTAAGTATGTAACAACGCAATTCAAATGTATGTACCTTGCAAGTGGTATATTCGTACATGTATACAATGCTGGCACAGTGGCGCCTGTCGTTATATGCGTTTAACGCCATCTTATGAAGTGTAGTAATTGGTTCCACACATCTGCGTCGCATAAGATTAATGCGGCCAAGCCGTGCACGTTGCCATAACAACGGACTTTGCTTGGAAGCACATCCACGCCCAAAGATACGTACAACACATGTGTATGTGGTCAAAGACTCAAAGCAGTACAGACCACATGGCGTGCTGCCCCACACTTTCCTTCTGTTCTCAAAGTCCTCGCAATACACCCGGAAAGAGGATCCAGACTCCGCAATACACACACTCACTAAAGGCTAAACCCTACACCCTGAACCCTAAAATCTTTCGACGGGCATACACAGGCTAATTGACACATTTGCGTCTACACAAATCTACACAAACACGTTCGAGTAAGCAGCTTCTGTCCCCAAATGTTTTATTGCGAACCTGTGAGGGGTGTCCGTGTGCTAAACCCTAAACCAAGTGAAGACAATACACAGTTAGCCATACCTCTCATCTCCGCATCGTTCTTGCGGCCCTTGGCGATGCACACGGGCGTGGGCTCCACTACTAAGTTTTCTTTAGCAACGAGCGACGCCACGCCGTAGCTGCACTTGTCACTCACCCACACTTTCTGGACCAATCAAAACGCAGCAAACCAGAACCAGAGCCGCGCAGGAGGGTGAGTGGAAAGAGGCGCAGAAACAGTGTATGTGGATATACTGAAACAGTGTCTGTGGATGTACTGACACAGTGTATGTGGATGTACTGACACAGTGTATGTGGATGTACTGACACAGTGTATGTGGATGTACTCAAAGGTAGAGGACATTTATATGACTGAGTGGTTGGATAGATATGCTTGTCTATTGTTAGTGACAAGTGATTACAAGAGGTGCGCTGATGGGTGATTTTGCACACGTGGATGGGCACTACAAGCGGTTTCGCCTCCACTACAGAACCCACAGACATACTATCAATCACCTGTCACCTACAGACATACTATCAATCACCTGTCACCCACAGACATACTAACAATCACCTGTCACCCACAGACATACTATCAATCACCTGTCACCTACAGACATACTATAACCACCTATAACCCACAGACATACTATAATCACCTGTCACCTACAAACATACTATAATCACCTGTCACCTACAGACATACTAAAACCATCTGTCACCCACAGACAGACATAATCACTTGTCACCCACAGACATACTATCAATCACCTGTCACCCACAGACATACTAAAACCATATGTCACCCACAGACAGACATAATCACCTGTCACCCACAGACATACTATCAATCACCCGTCACCCACAGACATACTATAACCA